GGATTTGAAAATGTACATAGAAACGTATGGTAGATGCCATGACAATTAAATATAGGTCAAGAAACACCGAAACTAGGTTGAAAAACAAACATAAGTTCTTTAAGAACATGTACAATGATATCAAAAACCTTATGAATGTATCCGGTTCGGATGTGATGATAGTAACCGCTGAGGTTGCTGTTTGGAATGACTTCCTAGTGATATGTAATTACTCGTTTGCATAGACTTTTAAAATGTTGACTATGTTTCAATACGAATATCACTAAAAATAATTTATGGTTTTCATATGCAGGAGAATGAATGGGCAAATAAATATTATAACAAGACTTTGCCCTAGTATTTGCTGCTAAGTAAGATCTATGAGGGTGGCACAACAAATGAGACTTACAAATCGATTAGGGGTGGCATTAGAATTGTGCCAAAAAGGCCCAACATTGCATTCTCTACCCCCCATTAGAAGTCCAGGATGAATCTAGCTCATCCTCATTTGATGACATAGTATCATCTAGATAAAAAAGATGACGGTCCGATACTCCGATAGGAACACATCGCCGATCAAAGCAACCCTCATTGAGTCTAGGTCTTTAGCCATGACAGAGATGGCCAATAGCATTAAGATGCTGGCATGTGACACCGTAGGTAACAGAAGTACTCCTGCGGTGGATGGTCTGTCCATGGCTAAGAGAGATGCCAATAAGATTGTTGAAGGCATGTGGAAAGCAGGTGAAGTTGTTGATTATATCCTTTTAATAGCGGCAAGGATCTTCCAAGATTCTACAAAGGCGAAGATGTTTCTAAACTTGGAGGATCCAAGGATACAAAGGGCTTACTTGGATTAAGAGATGAAACGCCTCCAATAGAGTTTCGATTGATTATATTTAATTCAACATCAAAGATTGCTTTTTTCATTTGTATGTGGATGACTTATGTCATTTTAATGTCAAATATTGCTTTATGGTTTGCTTTATGGATGATGGCTTTTTTCATTTGTATGATTGTTTGCTTTATGGATGATGAAAGAGATGACTTCTTTCACTTTAATGTCAAAGATTGCTTCATGGTTTGCTTTATGTATGATGACTTCTTTCATTTGTGTGATGGTTTGCTTTATGGATGATGAAAGAGATGACTTCTTTCATTTGTATGTGGATGGTTTCTTTCATTTTAATATCAAAGATTGCTTCATGGTTTGCTTTTTGGATGACGGCTTCTTTCATTTGTATGATGGTTTGCTTTATGAATGATGAAAGAGGTGACTTCTTTCATTTGTATGTGGATGGCTTCTTTTATTTTAATGTCAAAGATTGCTTCATGGTTTGCTTCGTGGATGATGGCTTCTTTCATTTGTATGTGGATGGATGACTTCTTTCATTTTAATGTCAAAGATTGCTTTATGCTTTGCTTTATTGTTGTGGATGGTTTCTTTCATTTGTAGTTATGGATGTCCGACGGCGTCGATTGGTCGTAATATTATGTGCTGCAGATACAACATGTTGCATTGCATATTGGTGTATCACTATCCAAATGAGGAGGGGGCATGTTCATACTTCAATTTTTACTAGGGCCAATTATGTCCAATACTTGTTGTCAAGGCACCCTCGTAAGTGCTTTGACAAGTTATGAATGGAGAAAAGTACTTTTATCAGTCTATGTAATTTGTTAAAGGAGATGACAAACATTACAAATACAAGATATTTGGTAATTGATGAACAAGTAGTCATATGTTTAAGCACCGTCACACACGATCAACGAAATAGGATGGACGGCTCCAACATTCAGGGCAAACCATAAGTTACTTCTTCCATAGAGTTTTAAAAGCGATCTTAGAATTGGAACCTTCCTCCAACCACCAAGCAATGAAACACCTGCCCACATTGTTGGTGATACACTATGCTTTTACCCATATTTCAAAGTATGCGAGTGTCAAGTATTCCACATTGTCCATCTCACATCCACTGAGAACTAATATATAATGGTGATTTGTTTGTCTTAATATGATTGTATTAGAGTTATTGATGGGACTCATATCCCTGCTTGAGTTCGTAATCGATTTTATAATTGTTTTCGAAACATAAAATGTTTTCTAAGCCAGAATGTTATGGATGCGGTTGGTTTTGACATGCGTTTCCATTATGTACTTGCAGGTTGGGAAGGATTCGCATCATATTCTAAAGTCCTATATGATGCAATTAGTAATGGACGCAGTAGGCTTGCAGTGCCTGAGGGTAACTCCATTACATTATTTTTCGTTGCTTCAGTTTGTACAATATTTGGTAGTATAATATCTAGTTTTATAGTATACTCATTGCACAAACATGGAACAGGGAATACTACCTTGTAGATGGTTGCTATCCTACTATGCATGGTTTCATAGGACGATATCGAATAGTCCGTTACCATCTAAATGAATTTACTTCACGCCCACGAGCTCCTTAAAATCACAAGGAGTTATTCAACAAGCGGCATTCGACGCTTAGAAATATGGTAAAGAGAACATTTGGGCTTCGGAATGCTAGATTTCCTGTACTCAAGAATCAAATGCAGTATCCTTTACGAATACAGGTTGATGTAATTGTTGCACGTTCAATATTGCACAACTACATCATGATTACACGAGGAACATATAGCAAAAGAGAGCAGCAGTTTTGAATAAGGGTTGAGAGTGAATTGGTAATTGACAGAGGTGATGGTTTCTCACAATTGACTTAAGGGCAAGCTGATCACGATGATGGCTTCAATCTGTGAGATGCCATGGTGACGCAGTTGTGGGAGTCCTACCTAAGTCACTAGAAGTTATTTGACCCATTTATTATGTTGAAATAACACAATATATCTTTTTCTTACGAAATATATTTGTGTTAATTTGGCCTTGTGTTGAAAGAATCCAGCAGGTTGATTATTTTATTGATTGTGATTGCATCATACTTTATGTATAGTTATTCATATACATATCGAGCCAGGATGGACCTTATTTCGTAGCCATAAATGTTGAGTCCTCGTTAAATGTTGTGTTCATTCAATTGCATTTTCAATTATGTATGTTTAAACTATTACAGGTTATTGTTGAATGGGCAAGTTTTGTACATAGTTATATATGGATGCATGAATTATGAATGTTGCTTGACATGCATCACAAATGTTTTAAGAGATAAAACACAAATGTTGTATGCCATTATAATTAGCGACAGAGAGAACACGAATGTTTTAAGGGACAAACAACAATGTTGTTTTATTGTTGAATGACGTATATTTTTTAGGTTCGGATATAGATGCATCAGTGATGAATGTAAATAGTGCTCAAGTTATTACATGTTATTCTTGAATTGGCTGAGCTCTTACCGCTTGCATTGTGCATGTGTATTTCTATGTTGTGCTGAAGCTATTATAGCACAGTCCAATAGAATACATGAAACCAAATCCAATACAATATGAGCAAGTGGAACCCTGCAGAGGAGGCCCACTTCATTGATCTCTTGTCGAAAGAGGTCAAGAAAGGGGTGAGTTGAAATGCATTTTTTGTCTATTTCTTTGTGGTTTTCAAATTTAGGTGCAATGTTCACACAAATTCAATACATATGTGTGTTCTTCTTACAGGAGTTTACTTATGTGACAAAGTACAGAGGCAAGTATTTGCCTATATACTTCAACGAATTAGAGAAGATATTTGGCACAAATGCTTCGGATTGAAGCCATGTGGAAGGGGGAAGAAATATGTGCTGATGCCTTCCTCAAGGGCTCTCAGCATCTCAAGACTGTCTTCCTAAGCATCCAGTCTTTCCTTTCATTAAAGTTCTAATTGTTGTCTAAATATTTTTTTTTTAATGGTGGGAGCATTGTGGAACAAATAACAATGTTGTTTTATTATTGAATGAGATATATTTTTGAGGTTGGGATATGGATGCATCAGTGGTGAATATATGTCTAAGTAGTGTTCAAGCTATTACAGGTTATTATTGAATGGGCTGGTTTCTTATTGCTTGCTTATGGATTGCATTAATTGTGCATGTGTGTTTGTATGTTGTGCTGATGCTATTATAGCACAATCCAATAGAACATAAGAAACCAAATCCACAATTGCCATGGCCGCCGATATATATGAGTGTCCATGTGTGTGTGCACGTGTGTGTGAAGAATAGCGAGAGAGAGTTTGTAAACGGTTTAAGAAGAAAGTCATTGACAACCTACTTATGAAATTTAAACACCTATTCCACTTCATATTTGTAAAGAGAATCAACAAATTGTATACCCACGATACTTAAGAAAATATATTGATTTCTATTTTGAGACAGTCGATTAGGAAACTAGTGATTTGGTGTATAATATTGAATTGAGGTTGTGCTTGACATTGTCTACAGACTGCTTCAAATATATCTCTCTATAGGACGTTTCTCTCACTCATCAATAAAACTTTCTCTCATAACACACACTCTCTCAATCCAACATACTTTACTTTCAATTGATATTGTATCTTAAAAAATAATATTTTAGAAATTAATAAAAAAATAAATATTAAATAGGTCTCAATTTTAACATTTTACATCTTGCATAGTACTTTACTTTCAATTGATATTGTATGCCCAAAAATAATATTATACAAATTAATAAAAATAAATAATATCTAGTTCTCAATTTTAACATTTTACATCTTGCCTATTTAAAACTAATCCAATATAGATACCTCGAACGTCATTAATTTTTCAAGAGGTTATCAAACACAAAAACGAAAAACTTTCTTAACTTTTCAAGAAGGTATCAAATACATAAACCAAAAACTTTTTAACTTCCTACCGAAGATATCACATAAACCAAAAACTTCTTCAGTAACTTTTAATTTATAATTCGCCTAAGAATTCACAATTTACCGTTTATAAACGTGCTACCCGTTATCAAACACATATTTTTTAATGCATAAAAACAAAAGATGAACAATAAAGTGAAATCCCATAGTTAAGTTGTGTTTTTCTATGAAACAGTAAAGTGAAGTTCTATCATACGCGCTCTAAAGATAGTCAACTTCATACGAACCACACCCAAGTAACAGTACCACTCAGGCACTGTACTGCTGCCCTGACGCCCCTTGCAATTAAAGGAAAAAAGAGAGGGGAGGGGTAGAAAGGCGGCGGGAGGAGCAGCGGAGCGGAGAGAGAGGTAGAGGAGGAGGCCTAGCAGAGAGAGAGAGAGAGATAGGCACCATGGAAAACGCTAGAGAGGTTCAGGTAGTGATGTTCCCTTTGCCCCCCATTGGCCACCTCGTGACCATGGTCGAGCTCGCAAAAACCCTCATCCGCAACCACTCTCTCCTCTCCATCACCATCCTCACACCCCATGACCACCCGTTCGACGCCGCCACCACCGACCCTTACATCTCCCGCATCTCGTCGTCCTACTCCCCCACCCGCCTCCGCTTCCTCAAATTGCCCCCTGTTAATTTCTCGCCCACCTCTGATATGAGACCCCAAACCATCAGATCGCTCTTTGCCGCTGCTCACAAGCCCTTCGTCACCGAAGCCCTGAAATCCCTCTCCAGCCCGTCATTCCCTGTTCACGCTTTTGTTACTGACTTCTTCTGCACCACCCTGCTGGACGCCGCCAAAGAAGCTGATGTCCCATCTTATATCTTCTTCACCTCTGGTGCCAATTTCCTCTCCCTCATGCTCTTCCTCCCCACCCTCCACGAGCAGATCCCATGTGAATTCAGGGATTGGAAGAATCCCATCCCTGTTCCCGGATTGCCGCCCGTGCCTCCAATTGACATGCCGGTTGCCTTCCAGGACAAGACCAACGACGCCTACAAGTGGTTTCTGTACCACTGCCGCCGGTTACGGGAGTCGAAGGGGATTATCGTCAACACCTTTGCGGAGCTTGAGCCCCTGACACTCAAGGCATTGCGAGAGGGGCTCTGCTTGCCCGAACACCCCATGCCGACCATCTACACTGTTGGCCCCCTCCTCAACCTCCATGACCTGCCTGCCGGTGGCGAGCGACACCAATGCTTGCAGTGGCTCGACAAGCAGCCCCATGGCTCGGTCGTGTTCTTGTGCTTCGGCAGCCTTGGTGCGTTCTCTGCGCACCAGACAAATGAGATGGCACTGGGGCTCAAGCAGAGCGGCCAGCGGTTCCTGTGGTCCCTTCGCACCACCTCCCACGACAGCGAGCCTCTTTCAGAAGGATTCGCAGAGCGTACTCAGGAGTACGGGATGGTGTGGCCCAAGTGGGTGCCACAGGTGGCTGTGCTCGCACACCCTGCAGTCGGGGGGTTTGTTTCGCATTGCGGGTGGAACTCGACTCTGGAGAGTCTGTGGCATGGGGTGCCAATGGTTGCATGGCCGCTGTATGCGGAGCAGAGGCTGAACGCGTTGGTGTTAGTGAGAGAATTGGGAGTGGCTTTGGAGGTGGAGATGGGGGAGGATGGGGTGGTGAGGGCTGAGGAATTAGGGAGCAGAGTGAGGGCTTTGATGGAAGAGGAGGAGGAGGGGCGAAGAGTGAGAAAGCGTGCAAAAGAACTGAAGGAGGCGGCGATGAAGGCGTTGGAAGAAGGAGGGTCGTCGCAATCTTCTTTAAAAGCGGCCATCAATGAAATGCTCAAAGGAGGTGAGGCCTGACTAATGGGGCAATATGTACAACACATTGGTAATACAATAACAGATTTTTCATCAATGGTTGTCCCCTGTATTGAAGATCAATTCAAACTTGTATCGTTCTCATGTAATAGTTACTTATTATAGGAGTCAGTGTGGTTAGTTATTATATAATGAGTTGAGCTACAAAGTGGGAGTTGATTATTTGTGGGTTATTAGTTATTGTAAGTGGGAGTAAACAATGTCTTGTAGTGGGTTGTTATTGCAAACACTGCTCTTTCTCTTTCTCTCTCCCTCAATTGCAGCTGCAGGAGCTTCATACTATTTAGGAGTGAGGATCCTTGATATCAATGGTGGATTGGGCATCAAAACCCTAAATTGGGATCACCCAATTGACTCATCAGTACAGGCAATTGGGGTTTTATCTGAATTTCTCTTTGCAAGCTTCGAATCTTTTTGAAAAAACTCAAATCTGATTCAGGTATTTGATAGAGCGAGTTTCACTCCTTTTATCAACCTCGGTCATGAAGAGAGGACGGGGGGGGGGGGGGGGTTAAGGATTGGATATTCAATTCCAGCTACAAGCTCAACTGGGTTTCTTCCCAAAGCCTCTTAATGGCTTCTTGCTCCTACAGTGGGCCTCTAGGTTGCCTGAGGTCCATTAAATTATGGGATATAAGGTCTGACTCTAAGGTTTCTGAGATCAAAGAAAAGGCGAATTGTTGTGGTGATGTTACAGTGAATGATGGGATTTGGGGGCTTTAAAAAGTTGGGTCGGTTTCAGGTGAGGTTTACATGATGAATTTGAGGAGATCGGGTTCTAGTGAGATGGGTTTCTTTGGGTGAAGTTGTAAAGTTATGAGTGGAAATGGGAAGAGAGAAGATGTGAATCATAAGACTGATGGAAATGGAAATAATGTGTTTTCCAGTAGGGTTGAGAATGTGGAGGAGTGGTCTGAAAGTGTTGATGGGTGGTAAAGAAAGAGTGTTCAGGAAGAATGTGATGGGGAGTAGGGAGAAAGTGGGATTAAGTAGGATTACACATTTGGATTTTGGTGTGAATTTGATGGTTTTGGCTAGGAAAGATGAGCAGGCAATTGAGGTTTGGCAAGGGTCAGGGACCAAACTATGTGAATTGGGGTGGGAATCAGGATGTTCATATTATTAAGACGTACAATTTTATTATTTTATTACTTATTATTCTCATACTTTTGTATTGTATACATTGAACCTTTTCAAGTAAAGATTTACTTAGGGGTTCATAGCTGTTGGATATGGGTTTGCTATTTATAGTTGAATGATACATTATCTTTTTCTTCAAGGTAGCGTTACATCAATGAAATACATAATGAATAATATTACAGGTAATTTGTGGCTTTTTGATACATAATGAATAATATTACAGGTAATTTGTAGCTTTTTGATTACCAAACAGTTGAAATTATCAGCACCATATTTTATTAAACAGGTTTATCAAACAGGTTTCCAGCTTTCACACTAACAATTTTTACCTGCATCCCATAATCTAAAAAAGTTAATAGCAGAGGTGATTCCCACGGAGACTGTAGTGAAAGTTATCAAATGGTACCTAACTGAAGAGTCAAGCTTGGTATGGGTCTGGGTTCTATTTTTGGACCTGATGGGTCAGGTATGGGTCTAGGTTGACATGATCCGACCTGACTCAAATATTTTAGATGTAATATTTATTTTAGGGAAAAGTTTATATCGAGGCGAGGCTCTAAACAATCAATTTTGATCCTACCTCAAAAATTTCCCTAGGAGATGTTTTGATGCTCAAATATCCTCAAATTGATAATCTCACATCATGATGCATGGACATGAGAAAAAAATAGATTTCAAGTTTTTAAAATAGTGTATTTTGTAACGCAGTTTTGAACCATCAATTTTCAAGATTTTATAGATGTCGATCTGCACTATTTTTTAAGCTTTAAACTTTATAAATAAAGATGAAAATATGTTTTGCTGTCACAAAGCTTGCCATAGAGAGAATCCAAGAGCGAACAGTACTATTGCCATAGAAAGCGATTATATATTACTATTGCCATAGAGAGAATCCAAGAGCCAACAGTAAAAAGATTGCTGAGAACGAACCTCCAAATCTGCAAAAAGAGGTATTTTTTTTAAAATTTTTGTTTTAGTGATGGAATGTTTTAAACTCTCCCATAGCCTTGTGCTCGTATTCTTTGAATCTCATTAGGTAAACTCAACATTTGCTCGAAGCCTTGAGGCCTCACAAAATTTCTCCCATAACCAGGTACATTGATTTCTTTTGTTCTTTTTTTTGTAAGGGGTTTTTTGGTGTTCACTTGCCTTTTGGGAGCGTGTTTTGTTAGGAAGATGTTGCATCACCCATTGAACAGAACAGTTTTGAGGCATGGTAAGTGAAGTTGAGAGGAAGGCGAAGCGTCCCTGATAACAAATGCATGTGAGAGAGAGAGACTAGGTGAACTTTTTCTTTGGCCTCCTTACCATCTCTGATTTCTTCCTTTTCTTTCTCTCTCTAGAATCATGATTTATGTTCTCATTGAGACTGCCTTCCTTCTCAAAATCAGCAACATCCATTAAAAGAATGAGTTCTGCCTCCAATGGTCACCCCAAAATGACAAGGCAAATTTCTTTATCAAGCTTTCATTGGAAGTTCATAGCAAGTTTTCAGTTGTTTCCACTGCAAGAAAAAAATTAGTTGTCGAGTGGGTAAGTTACATGTATTCTCGCTCATTCATTTGCATGTCTCAATTGTTTTCAAAAGGAATATTTTGATCCTAGTTTTTGTGATTGTTTTTTTTTTTTTGCAATAGTGAAGTAAGAAGTGGAAATATATTTAGGAACAATCTTGATGCTTTCTCCATATTTCATCCCTATAATTTGGGCTTTGGGTTTGGGCATTTACATGCCTATATAATCTAGAGAGAGGGAAGAAGGTCATTGTATTTATGAGAGAGATTTATTTATTGTTTATTCTGGTCTTTCTATTTATAGTTCCTTTACTAGTGATTTGTAGACCATCCATATATAGCTTTTTTTCCTTTATATTTTTATTTTCTTCAGTTTTTATGGAGATTATTTGCTTTTGATCCATTGGGTACCTCCATGTTCTTATATATGATTGTATTATATTCAAAATCAAGAACAACTATGTTGTAACAACTCTTAACTTCTTTTTGTAATTTGTTATTTAAGAACATGCAGTACACAACCTAAGGTTTGACTAAAGGTAATAGACTTGCAGGAATCTTCATAGCGTACTGTGTGGTTACAATTCACACCAAGTGTTTGGTAAAGTGCCTCAACAGGATATAGCTCAACGTGATGAGTTCAAAAACTTATTTGAATTAAGCCTTGAAATAATTTATGTTACTGGGCATAGATGGGTATAAATATATGTGAACTTGAAATACTTAGTACGTTTATCAATGACTATTCTTTCTTCTACTAAGACACAATATCTGAATCTTGGTGTATGCATGAAGGCATACAAAATCACAAGCTGCGTATACATTTATCCTCAAATCAAAACCTACTTTTGATATGTATTTATTTCTAGCTTACAAAGAGGATTAATGACCACAACAATGAATATATAGAGACAAGAGAAAAGGGGGCAGATGGGTTTGGTTCCTTGGGAGCGGAGGCAAGAGAAGAGAAAATGGAGATAATGAGGTGTGAATATTGCAAAGATATAAGACAGGCATTTTGAAGAACATAAAGTAATAATGTTTTAAGGGTTTTCAATTGTCTTTTAAGGACAAAAAAGCTTTAGAGGGTGAGCTGAATGGGCCTTCATATTTGGGAGACAAACAAAGAGCTCATATCCATGTTAGAGAGAGAGAGAGAGAGAGAGAGAGTTCAAAACAAGCTATAAAAAGTATCCCCTTCATTGAAGTTATCAAGAAATTTGTTCGCTGGCAATATGGCTTCCCATTAATTCTGTTGTAATCACAAAGGAAATTATTTACTGGTAGCATGAATACATTGCCTGTAAATTGATTGTTACTGTTTGGATAGTATTTAGATGAAACTTGGGAAATACATTGTTATTGTTTGGCTATGTCTGGAAGAAATATAGGAAATGCATTACCAACATTTTACCAACATGTTCCTATAAACTATCATTTCTTTCTTTTTTGTCACATAATTGCACTAAAATGCAGAATTATCATTTCTTTCTTTTTTGTCACAAATTTCACTAAAATATGGAATTAAAATGATCATCACACCATTCAAAAAAGATTTCTAATAATAACATCATCACCATTCCAAAAAGATTTTTTAATAATAACTTGTACCATTTTACAGTCATCATGACACTATTTCCTACTTATTTTACATGCCTTCGGCACTTGCATGGAATCACATGCCTTCTAGCATGACGTTGGTTTCAAAATGATAAGTTATTGGAATAACAATATGATTGGAATAACATGATTTTATCATGATAAGCCTTATTTTTATTTATTTTTTATAGAAGGCTTCCAAATGTCTCTCAATATAATTTCAATCAAATAATAAATTTATGATACTAAATTCAAAATCTCAATGGTACGAGTTAAAAAATAAGAAGAAGTTTGATTAATAAACTAGAAGGTTTGGTAATTGGAGTATAAAATTTTGAGGTATTATAGGAGACTAAAGATGTATGTTATTTCAATTGAGATTTTAGTAATCTCTTATGAGGATTATGTTGTGTGAAATATTTTATTATGATTGTGTTGTGTAATTTATCATTAATTACTAATTTTTATATTATTATTTTTGTTTTTATATGACAGCTGATGCCTTCAGATGAGGGGTCGAGCTTTTTTATTATGATTGTGTTGTCTAATTTATGATTGATTACTCATTTTTAATTTTATTATTTTTGTTTTTATATGACTTCAGATGAGGGGAGGGATCAACTATGCTAGTTATTATGAAGAGAGGGCTTACGAGAGAAGTTATTATGAAGAGAGAGGCTTACAAGAGAAGTTATTATGAAGAAAGAGGCTTACAAGAGAAGAGAAGAGAATATTTTTTTAATCAGGTTAGGTAGGCAAAAACCCACGCAAAAGATTTCCAAAATTACCTGTGTAATAGATTTTCACTTATCACCGTGCATAATGGATTTCCTGATTTTTGGGGAAATCTCACGTAATGTCTTTCCATTTCCTTACGATTAAGTGTACCCAAACAGTAGAAATGCCATATTTCCTTGTAATCTATTGTCACCTAATAGATATCCAAACGGCCCCTAGATGAAGTGAACATAGGACATACGAATTTAAATTATACTCAACTTAGTGGGATATTTCACCATTCTTTTGCCTCTTACTAGAATTTGTAACAAGACAATAACATGTTCAAAGAGTTTTGTACAGAGTTTTAGTGGAAGATATCCAAATACCATATCTAGAACACAATTCTCTCAACATTCAATATAATTGCATGGTATGAGCAGCTCAAAAACCTTGCTCTCTCAAGATTGTGAGTTAAAAGCCAGGCTAACTCAACAATATAATGAGCTCACATGCTAAATGGATATCACCACCTCCTTCTCTCAATCTAAAGTTCTTCAGACTCTTGGTTTTGATGGTCTTGTTATTTGGGATATTTATCGAAAAATACACCTAATTGAATTGTTTAATATTTCATCTGTTTTTGTTCATTTCATTTCGAAAAGCTAATTGAAATACACATGATTATGAGTTGCAACACTTAATATTGGGTAGATTGATAAATATTTTATAAGTTAGCTGTATTTTAATCTATTTTCTTTGATTTATTGTCAATGATATTTATTTTGAATGGAGGTGAGGTTCCTGTAGAGCAATGTTGTTGCAGAGATGAATATGAAGAAATACCAGTCAAGAGAGTGAAACTGAATCATAAAAAAAGATGGACATTAGCAATGAATATATACTCTCTTTTTTTGTTATTTAGGGATAATACTCTTTTTTTCGTTTTGCTTTTTGCTTTTTCCTTTTCTTTTTTACAGAATACAACACTGTCAATAGAGAGTATTAGACTTTGGCTCTCTTTTTGTTATTTAGGGATAATACTCTTTTTCTTTTTGCATTTTCCTTTGCTTTTTTACAGAATACAACACTGTCAATAGAGAATATTAGATTTTGGCTATTTGCAAGCATAACCATTCATCACTCTTTGTTATGTTTTTGGTTTTTCATGTATTTGTGTCTCCTTTTTATTGTGTAGAATCTTTTCTTAATATTGTTATCATTATTTTGTTTTTGAAATACCAGCATTACCTATGTACAACAATTGCTTGATAGTTATAATGGCAATGTTCTTTTAAACATCATGATATTAAATAGATAAATATGTTATATACATTACATTGGTTTATGTTATATGTTGTGACCTTCCTTTTCACTTGCACAATAAATCACGTGCAGCCCACGTGCCTGTGCTAGTTTCTAATATAATGTACTATTATATAACAATTACAGCAGGGCTTGACCCGACTGGGTCTAGTTTCTAATATAATGTACATAGCATCTTACAAGAGGGCTTGACCCTACTGGGTCTAGGTTCTGGATCCACTTGACCTTGTATTAAGGTGATCTTACGTTGAAATGTGAAAAGGGCACAAAACAAATCGAACAGTTCCAAGGTATCTGTGGATGTCTTGGTAATAACATTCACCGTCTCTTACAATAGAGATGTGAAATACCTCTGTTTAATTAATCACAGATGAATTATCAAGAAGAGAAGCATAAAAAAGAAAGAACTAGCAAGTCTTGCTGTTGTGCCTGCTTGCAGAATTTGTTCATACAAATATGTAATAGTGTACATAAAAATATTTTGTGAGCATCTATGATCTCTCCTATGTTTGTATCTTGCCTTGATAGGCTATTTGTAGTCATCCAACACTTCGATTAGTTGTTCTTGATCGTGTCTAATAGTTGCGATGAAATGCATGTAGTGGTCCTCGTGTCATGCTTTGGTAATAACACGTGGTCTTGTGCGAATGTTGTATTTCTAAAGTATTCATCTCATCCAAAACGTGTGTTGCGTCATATTTTTATTTGGCGCGTCATTCTCGTAGAATGTAGTATCTTCTGTCAGGAGTTACTTGTAGAAAAGGTTAAATATTTCCATGCTACCCTTCCAACAAGTTTTTGAGTTTTGTTGTCATTTGGAATGTGCTTACAAATCTTCAAACCTCAAAGTTTGTAAAATAAAGGGGGTAAATAGGGGTATATTTGTCAGTGATATATTTTGAAAATGAATAAGGTCTTATGCACTGGAAAACATGAAGTAAAATAAATGGGAAGTGTTTATAAGTATTGTATCTATTGGAGCAGGGAGTCGATTCACCAGAGTCTTGCAAGTGATTCACATTCACCGGAGAGTCTCGTAATGGGCAAATCTAGGTTAGTATGCAATCAGAATCAAAATCCAGACTAAGGTAGTCATAATTAGACATATATCCGTGGTACTTCAAATCATACCTAGAATTAAACTCCAGTTTTATGTGAGTTTAATACCCTTCCAAATCTGATTTCTTTCATGCAAAATTTAAATAAGTGAGTAAGGCTTCTCGAGGATATAAAATGACACAGTTAGGAATAGTTCAAAATCATACCTAAACACCTTGACCTGCCTTGGCCTAAGCCTGAGTTAAGGCTAACTTGACCAAATATATTGGTATAAATTACATATAAATAATACTAATTATGTAGCATGAAATATATAGAATAATTTTCTACATATTTTTTATTTATAGTCCCGAACTCGACCAGACCCCTCCAATTGACTTGGACCTAACCCGGATCTAAATTGGGTTGGGTCTAACTTAGACCTAGTTGGGTCGACCCAATCCCACCCCTAGTTGCAGAGAGTTAATGAAAAAGTATTTTTATTGTTCATCCATTTGTTGTTTTGTCTATTAGAGAGAATTTAGGCGTGACACCAATAGGCGATAAAATGAGAGAGAGTAGACTTAGGTGGCTTGGCCATGTGTGGCATCGACCACGTATAACACCTCTTAGGAGGTGCAAATTAGTTCAAGTGGAAGGACTGAAAAGGGAAAGAGGTAGGCTCAAAAGATGTGGTTTGAAGTAATCCAAAAAGATATGGGAACTTATGGCCTCACTGAGGATATGGCCTTTAATAGAGCAGAATGGAGAACTAGGATTCATGTAGTCGATCCAATTAATTGGGAAAAGGCTAAAATGATGATGATGATGATGATCCATTTGTTTTGTTGTTTGTTTTCTCTATTGCCTTCTCTCTTGTAATTGTTAGTGTTGCAAAAATCTCAGCAAAACTTGATATCAGAGCCATGTTCAACAACAATCCCAGTGTGGATGTTGTGAAGGATATAAGGAAGAAAAGAACAAATAAAAAAAAAGAGAAGGTAAAAACAATTCTAAGCACTAGTAATGTTGTAACTTATTTCTCAACAAATCGTTCCCATATTCAAAAGTGAGAATTATCAATTTTAGAGCATTAAAATTAAAATTATGTTTATCGATTATGGTTTATAGCAATTATTTGAGAATGGATATGCAAGATATAATAATCAGGAAGGAAGGATTATTGCAGCCCAAAGAGCGGAGTTGAAGGAAAAGCTAAAAGAAGGATGCCAAGGCCTTGTTTTACATTCAACAGCCTATGGATGAGCAATATCTCCGAGAATATTGGTTGCAAAACCATTAAAGGAAGCATTGAACTTGTAGAAGAGAAAATTCTATAGGATAACTATGAAATTAGTTTTGCTTTCTGGGGCGGAATGTTGGATGGTCAAGAAATAATATACTCGTAAGATGAGTATAGCTGAGATGAGGATATTTAGATGGATGAGTGGCAAGACAAACAAGGTAGAATTTGAAATGAATACATTTGGGAAAAATTATGTGGGGCTCCAATAGGCGATAAGATGAGAGAAAGTAGACTTAAGTGGTCTGGTCATGTACAGTGCAGACCCAGTACAACACCTGCTAGGAGATACGAGTTAGTTTAAGTGGAAGGTTAAAGAAGGGCAGGGGATAGGCCCAAAAGGATATAATTGGAAGTAGTGATAAAAGATATGGGAATTTATGGCCTCACTTGAAAGCTTGAACTAGCATATTATATATAGTTTTTAATTTTCTTCTTTTCTACCGGCTAGAACACTTACAGAGATCCAAATACAATAAAATAAACTCAAAATAAACAAGAATGAATTGTAAATGATGTTTTCACTTGCTGCCACGAATAAAAACTCTTTTATTCAATAAACAAAAATACACAAACTCTTGTAGGGACCAAGAAACATAAATTGCAAAGCATAGAAATAAATTGCTAAAAGATTACCTCAACTGAACTTTAGCGCACTCCACTCCGAGTATCTTCCTTCGATGGCGCACGAGATCAAGGTTTATCTTAGATCTTCAAAGTATGGAGAACTTTACGCTATCATCCTTAATCAAATAAGAGAGCAATGGTGGAGCTAGAATACCTAATTATGTTGAGCGTTGCCCCTCTCTTAGGCTCTTAAGGCTATGGGGAGTGCCCCCTAATTTCTCTTTCCATATTTTTCTTAGAGAGGGAGGCTATGAGAGATGAGAGATCAGAGAGGGAGAGCGTGGTGTGCCACCTTGTGAGAGAAGAGAGAGAGATGAGATGTGTAGAGAATGAGATCCCCATAGAGGCTATTTATAAACTTATATTCGGGTTAAGTTTCTTAGGGTTAGCCATCTAGACCATTGATCAAAAGAGACCTATGAATTAAGAGATCTTAATCTTACATTCCTTAGATCGGCCATCATGATTAAAAGGAAGGTGCTAGAACCTTATCCTTCAATTTCTTTAACCTAATCCCATCAATTAAATAAAATATGAAATATATTACATATTCCTTTTGTTTCTATGCTCTCTCTTAGACATGCTTTATTTGAAAATCAAATCTCTTTAATTTTCAAAACTTTCCTTTTTTATTTCAACTTGATTGAGTGCCTTGATGTCCTCAACACAAAATAGGAAACAAGATGCAATAAGTGGGGCTTCTAGTGGGCCCCATGCACCACCCACATGATCTTTTATGATGAGGCTCATAGCCCATAGTGGGCCCCATATATTTTATGACGTATAAAATGATATTTAGAAAATCTTAATTTATTTTATTTTTCTCTCTGAATATTAAAATACTAAAAATTCAATTTAGACAATTTATAAATTCATTTATTGAGAAAATAATATATCCAGAGACTTCTAAAAAATCAATCTATTAATCTAAAAATCATTTAAGGTCAAAATAATTAATCCTAAATTATTTTTGATGGAATTTGGATCCAACTAAGTGAGGGAAATATTAATTTTGTTGAAGCACTTCATCTTCTATTAAGGATTATAATCACACCCACTTTCTCAAGGTGACCCAGCAGTTCCCTTGACCTACAGACCAGTGCGGGGGTGCATGATTGGGCTATCAAAGTCAGCCAATAGGTGAGGGGACACAATCCTAGTTTATGGATTATAGGTTCTCCTCTATGGACAAATCCAAGGTCACACAAACCTGTGCACACAACTCTATGATGCATATGGGGGTATCTCTCGCACATGTACATGTATTGCCCTAAGTGGTGATTTACTTCCTGATATGGCTATCATATGTACATTCCATGTGATGGTGTAAGATGAAGTTTTGGCCCTCATCCCTACATGCCTACCAATCACACACAAGGGCTACATAGCCCCTTGGCTCACTATCCTGAGAAACTCCGACCTCATCAAGTGATAACCCTGCTAACCCTCATTGGTTGTGCTCTATGCCCAGGTATTTAGGATTTTGTAACTCGACTAGCCTAGCGCGTTAAGCCTATTCTGAGTCTCGGTAAACATCATTTGCCAATCTCGGTCCCTCTGGACCATACTCCCACTATAGTTCTTTGTTTCACTATATCAAAATATTGATTACATATTCTCATAAGGGCATAAGGCCTTTAAGGGCCACCAATAACTAATATCACTGAGGATATGGCCCTTAATAGAGCAGGATACGTTTAGCCGACTCCAATTAGTTGGAAAAAGGCTTTGACAATGATGATGATTGGACTTGCCTTGAGATGGAAATTAAAAAATTAATCAGGCAAAAACTGTGAAATCGCAAACTCCCAATAGCGAATTTGAGACTTTGTCAATGAAAAAATTCTATATCTATTCAAATTTTTTTCCACACGAAGACCTCTCGGTGAAATATTAAATGATCAAAAAATTGTTGAAAAGGTTTTGAGAAGCCTTGGTACTAAATTTGGTCATGTTGTTGTTGCAATTGAGGAATATAAAATATTAACTACTGTATCTTTGAAACATCTCATATGCTATCTTCAAGCACGTGAGGAAAGGATGAATAGATCAGCAGAAAATCAGTTGAATAGGTTATTCAATGAAACTTGATCTAAAGACATGTTCGGGTAAAGGTGAACATCATCAGAAAAAAGGAATGATGGGAGGAGGAGGGGAGCAAAAGTTTCACGGTAAAGGAAGAACCCAAAATTAACAACATTCTAATAGAGGTAATTATGATGATCAGTATTACAAGTGCAAAAATATAGGCCATCTTGTAAAATATTGTTGCTATAAAAATAAGGTTTGTAATTTACTTCAGTGCTCTAATTGAAAAGGACTGTCGGGCAAATTTTCATGAGGAAGAAATAAAAGACGAAAAAGTTAATGAAGAAATTTTTTTCTCCTTTGTCTTAATGCAAATGTTGATCTTTCTGAATGCAAATAAAATGTTTCCTCTTAAATTTTCTGAGCTTACATTCAATGTATTTAATGTTGAGTCGTGTGATGATTCTTTTTATGGCATAAAAGATACCTGCACTTGAATTTTGGTAGCTTGGATTTATTGCATAGAAAAATAATAGTCGTTGGTTTACCTATGGTACATGATGCTGGAAAAATATGAGAATCATGTGTATACAGAAAATAACATCGAATCCCATTTCAAGTGGGCAAGTCTTGGTGAGCAAATGAGCGCTTGATACTTGTGCATGCAAATACTTGTGGTCATATGTAAACTGTTCCTTTTGGTGGAATTAAATGCTTTTTTGCCTTTGTTTATGACTACAGTAGAATGACATAGGTTTACTTCCTTAAGAAAGAAAATCTGAAGCTCCTTCAAAATGTTTTGCTATTCAAGGCTATGTTGAGAATCGAAGTGGTTTCTGTCTAATATTACTTACTGAAGGATTTTTTTATGCTTTGCAGAACTGCAGGAATTCATGGAGAACTTACAACTAGCTTCACTTCACAACAAAATGGAGTCGTAGAGCGTAAGAATCGGATAATTGTGGATGTTGTGAGATGCATGTTAAAGGAAAAAGGAATTCCAAATATTTTTTGGGTTGAAGCTGTGACAACATCAGTTTATCTACTGAGTCAATTTCCTACAAAAGCAGGTAAAAACTCCATGCGAGATTTGGTATGGGAGAAAACCGAATGCAAGTCACATAAAGGTATTTGGTTCTATTGCCTATGCTCATATTACTTCCGAATGCAAGTCACATAAAGGTATTTGGTTCTATTGCCTATGCTCATATTACTTCTGCAAATTGACAAAAATTAGATAATAAGAGTACAAAATGCATTTTTGTTGGCTCTAACCCTTCAGAAAAAGGAGTTGATTATAAGTCGAGATGTTTTCTTTAACAAGAATAATACTTGATATTGGGAAAGTGGTGTAAAAAAATATCCTTTAACTTGTAGAAGAGGAAGAAGAATCTCCAAGTGCAACGGCAAGCCCATCTACATCTCAAATTGAATTCTCAGAGTCATCTCCAAGGTAGGTAAGTAGTCTTATGATATTTATCAATTGTATGAATTTACATTTTTTTTGCCTTGAAACCTACTTGTTTTGAAGATGCAACTACAAAGAAAGAGTGGGTTCATGCTATGGAGGAAATGAGTGCAATTGAAAGACATAAAACGTAGAGATTGGTGGACCTACCCCCTGGAAAATAAGCTATCGAACTCATGTAGATTTACTAATCCAAATTGAATTATGATGGATCTCTACAAACGCATAAAGCCTGGTTGGTTGCCAAAGGATACCGGCAAATTCCAGTTATTAGTCTTCAGGAACTTTTGCACTTGTTGCTAGGATTGATACTATTAGAATTCTTAGCATTGGCTGCTCAAAAAGGTTAGGAACTTTTCCAATTTAATGTCAAATCAACATTTCTTAATGGAGAATTACAAGAGGAAGTTTGTATAGAGAAGCCCCTGGGATGTCAAAGGTATGGAATATAAAGTCTACAATTAAAGTCTACAATTAAAGTCTACAATTAAACACTACAAATCGGGGAAAGTGTTCAAAAATCACAAGCAGGCTCCTAGAGCATGGTATAACAAAATTGACGAGTATTTCCTTGACAACAATTTCAAGAACAGTGTGAGTGAACCAACCCTCCATGTGAAGTCCAAGGTATGGATGAAATTCTTATAGTTTGCCTACTACATGTTGATGACATGATATTTACAGGAAATTATTTGAGTTTGATAAAGGAATCAAGAAAAAATATGATGTCAAAGTTTGAAATGGCAGACTTCAGTCTTTCACATTTTTTCTTTATGATTGGAAGTCATTGAAGATTCTCATGAAATTTTCTCATGTCTAGAAAAGCATACCTCTAGAAAAGCATACCTCTGATTTGTTGAAAAGGTTCAATATGCCTAGTTCTAATCCGTCAAAAACTTCCATGAATACAAATGAAAAACTTATAATAGATGATGGAGTGGAGAAAACAAATATTAAAGAATATAGAAACATGATTGGGGGGCTGATTTATCTCACTCACACGGGACTAGATATAATGTTTTCCATGAGCCTACTTTAGCTTTATAGATTGTCCAAGAAAATACCAAGATGGTGAAGTTAAGAGAATCTTAAGACATGTTTGTGGGAACACTGAATTTTAGAATCAAGTATGATCAAGTTAATAATTTTAAGCTTGTATTTTATACTGACAGTGATTGCACAAGATGTGCGGATGATAGGAAAAGTACTTCAGGTTTTGCTATTGGTCTTTGGTCCGACATGATATCTTGGGCAACTAACCAGCGACATTGTGTCGATCTGTCTTGTTCAAAAGTCGAATACATAGCTGCTCAAGTTAAGCATGTAAACCGTGTGGCTAAGGAGGATCCTCTTTGATTTAAAGAAGAAGCAAGAAGGTGCCACAAATATACTCTACGAAACCAGGTCCACCATTACAATGACAAAAGATCCTATCATTTATGGGAGGACTAAACACAGAGAAATCTGTCATCATTTTAATTGAGAGCTCGTAGATCAAGATGTGGTATTGCAACATAATGGACCAGATTACTGATATTTTCATTAAAGCTCTTCTATAGGTGAAGTTCTACAAGTTGCGTAAACTAATCTGTGTTGAAGCAGTTTGAATTAAGGGGACATGTTGAAGATTAATTCAAACTTTTAACCAACCACTAGTGTGTAGTGGTGCTGGTTATCTCATGTAATGAGTAGTTATTATTGTGGGTTAGTTATAGTTAGTTATTGCATTATGGGTTCAGTTGTTAATTATTGTAAGTGGGAGGTAGTTTTATGAATGGGTTGGTAGTTATTGTAAGTAGGTAGTTTGTTATTGTGTGAGTCAAAAATGTCTTATAGGAGGTAGTTGTTGTTGTAAATGGGATGAAGACCAATTCTAAGTGAGTTACATGAATCTCTATTTAAAGAGGAGTGTGGGAAATGTAGGGCAGTTTTCGGAGTACGGTGTGCGGATGTGCAAATGTTGAAATGCACAAACAGCCCATCCTTTAGGTAGTCTTAAACAGAGCTCTTTTGTTATTTTTGGGTACATCAGATACCCTTGTTAATTATATTCGCACTTCAACCAATGGATGGGCAAAACACCTCTGTTTAATCGATAGTAAATGGCAGCAGTTTGAAAGAAAAAGATACAAGATACTTCCTTCGCATACAAAGGACCTTCAGTCTTGTTGTGCCTGCTTATCTGCCGGAATGTATGTGAATTTGTCTATGTTTCTTTGGATATCTATGATCCGTCTGTCTCTCTCATTCTTATTAGTTTGAAAACAGTTAGTCCTTTTACCGACTTTGCAACCAGCGGTTTTCTTGAAGTGCCCAGGAAGTATGTGGTGCTCATAGTGGAAAATGATCGATTAGTCTCATGAGATGCATGTCACATAGCGCCTCTTATGGGTGCATGTGCTATTCTAGATAAGTCTAGAATGAAGCAATCTTCTGCTAATTATATGAAACTGTCGCAGTACATAGATTGTCCCTACTAGTAGAAAGGTTGCTAGTTGATCCAAACAATTATCTGATGATATTTAAGTGGATTCGAAATTCTCAAAACTAAAAAATATTTCCAAGTACATCTTTTACTTGAGGCAGCAAATCAACGGTTTGCTCTAGCGTGAGCATAGTATATGCAGTCAGTCATAGCCAAATGATTTTTATGCTCACAGGTGAGTAAATTGTCCATTTACTCCCTCAGGCAAATATCAAGCTAGACTAGGGGTGTTTTTAGGACCCAACTTTGAGGGACATATTCTCTACCACCTTTAAGACTAACTCCACAAAAAACAAAAATATATCATATACACACTTTATGAGCCTGAAAAAAAAATAATGTCTGAAAATTGAATTAACATCGTCCAATTTTGGACAGTAAGATCTAAGTGTTCAAAATCCAATTTGTTTATATAATTTTTTAAACAAAGCTAGTGGTGTTTTTAGCCTCTACTAACGATAGACTCTCCAAAGAAAAATAAAAGTTCGAATACATCCTCTATAAATCTGAAAAAAAATATTGTCCCGAAATTGAATGACCACCATCCAATTTTTAGACGACAAGATCTGTGTTAAGTCTCCAAAATCCAATTTATTATTACTTTTTTAAGACAATCCTATGATGATAGTTAAGCAGACTCAAGATTTTCAAAAGGTAAAAAGTTCTTTTCCAACTACATCTTTTACCTAAGGGAGAAAATGAACAGTGTTCTCGTGCAGGAGCATAGCATATGCTCATTGCCAAATGATTTTATGCTCTCAAGGAGGTAAACTATCTATTTACTCTCAGGCAAATACCAAGCTAGGGTTATTTTTAGGACCCTTAATTCTGTGGACATATCCTCTACTACCTATAGACTAACTGAAAAATAATAATAAAAATCAAATTGATACTCTCTGTGCCTGAAAATATAATGTCCCAAAATTGAATGAATACCATCCAATTTTCGGTCAGCAAGATGCATGTGTTGAAGTGTTCAAAATCCAACTCAGTTTATTTTAAAATAATCATCAGATGATATTTAAGTGGATCCCAAATTTTCAAATTGAAAGACTTTCCAAGCTCTTCTTTTACCTGAGGGAGTAAATGAATGGTTTGCAATAAACCCGCCGTAAATATCAAATTGTTTAATGTTCACAAAAAAAAAAAGAAAAAAAAAAGAAAAAGAAGAGAGTAAATGAATGGTTTGCTTTCAAGGGAACGAAACATATGCTCTATGGTTTTATGCTCCCTCGGGAGTAAACTAACTAGGGTACTTTTAGGACCCCAAATTATAGGGACATATCGTCTACTACTTATTAGACTAGCTCCCAAACAAAAACACTAATAGAAAAAGGGCAAGCTTTCTATGCTTCCCCTTAGTATAGAAGTTCTATATCTCCTTTATCCAACTCTCCATTCTGAATGGAGGGTTAAGATTGCCTCAATCACAATGTCACATCTCTATATTATTATTATTATTATTATTATTATTTTATAAACTATTTTGACACCAAATTTTGGACATCCATTCTCTTATTAAACTCACACTAGCGAAGAATATAGAAAAAAATATTTTCAATAAAATAAAATGACCAAAATACCTCTGAAAGTTTTAAGGGGTATTTTGGTCATTATATTTTATAGAAAAATTATTTTTAATATTTTTTATAAGTGCGCCCCAATAATAAGATGGCACATGCCAAATTTCATATTCATACAATTTGTATTAAAAAAAAAACTAAAAATAAAATACTTTGAGACGTTGGATCTAAAATCAAACGGTGGGTAGCTCTCTTGATTAAAACTGGATGGTTGGATGGTAAGGACAGGATAGAACTTCTATGTTGTTGAGGAAGCATAGAAACCTTTCCCGTAAAAAAATACGAGCCTGAAAAAAATCATGTCCCAAAATTCAATGAGCATTATTTGATTTTCAGGCAACAACATTTAGGTGTCGAAGTATTCAAAATCTTTTTTTTTTTTTGAAATAGTCATTTGATGATTTTTAACTGGAATCAAAATTTTTAGCTTTGAAAAATCTACTAAAGGATATCTCTCCCCGAGGGAGCGAATGAGCATTTTGCACCCATGAGAGCATGGTATTTACGCTCCCACGCTTAGGCAAATACCGAGCAAGCGGTACCTTTAGGACCCCAAGACATATCCTCTACGGCCTAACCTTTATTCTATGAGCCTAAAAAATGTTGTGAAACTTATAAAAACCCCTGCAAAACAAACTTTCTGGATAATCTCCCCCCAATGTGTCCTTGAATAGAGACCCCCTATGGATTGATCTTGTAGGTGATTCAGATAAATTAGAAGTCTCACTTCTAATTAGAGTAGGCTAGGATGTACCACATGACTATTAGGTTTTGTTTTTATGTAGAGGAATATTTACGTGATAGAGTTTGTGTTCTCTTAGGATTAGGGTGAACACTTTATATATAGGTGGTTGGTCACATGAGCTGACGTGTGGTATTAACGAGATAATTTTTTAACATTTGATTAATAAAAAAAACTACGATGAGGATGGTTTTTCCTTTATCGTTGATAATAAATTTCTAAGAAAGCTCGTAATTTATTATAGTAAAGTAAATGGAAAATTAGAGATATTCTTATAATCAACTTTTTAGACATCTTACTTCTCAATAATTTTTCTCTCACATCTTAAATCCTAACACTTTTTTTTTTTATTTACCTCAAATTAAGAAATCAACAAGCTTAAGATGAAATTGCCTTTACTCTCTCTAGACAAAAACAAAAATCAGCTTTTTGAACCCTCTCATTCTCTCTTTGTACCCTCTCTCCATGCTATCTCTCTCTTTCTCTACCTACCATATCTCTCTACCAGCCCTCTCAGTTTATGTAGAGAGAGGGTAAGGGTATTTTCATTTTAAATTGTTGACTTCTTGATTGGGGATAAATACAATGTTAAGATTTAGGGTGTGAGAGAAAAAGTATTGGAGGTAGGATATCTAGAAAATTGATTTTGAGGGTATCTCTAATTTTTTCTAAAATAAATTGTAAGAAGAAGAAGAAAAAAATACTTCCTAAAATCGATTGTAAGAAGAAGAAAGAGAGAAAAGCATTTCATATTTGCAAGACTGACTGATCCTAACTCCCCCGAAACACAACAATTTTTTAAACCTCGCTGATCGAATGCCATCAACTGTCCAACAGTCCCAACTGATCCAGACAAGGCTCTCATCTTCTCTAATCTCTCGATTCTCCTGGCACCATATGAACTGAGAGATAGAACCATGACATAGAGAGTGTAACTGTGGGAATAGACAAGACCAGGGCATCGTATTTCTTTTTGCAGTAGATTGAAGTTTTGTTTCTATAGATTTGTTATGCGTGTGTTTGTTTGTATGGGTATGTTTATGATATTGTTTACGTGTTTCCAATTGGGATTGTATATATTGAGACCGTTTACCATTGGAGCAAGGAGGTCAGAATTATTTATAATCATATGAAATATGAAAGGTTGGGTGTTTCATAAAGTTGGAAAAAATAAATAAATTTGAACTTTGAGTTTGGTGAGTATAATTATTGTAATCACTCAATTTAACATCCAATTATCAAGATTAATTGAGATTACCTTATTCAAAAAATAAACAGTCTCATTGTATACTTTTTCTTTCCAATTATACACCGGCACTTGTTGGGCGTGTGAATTTTTGCCATGCGAGTTAACAAGTGCATACGTATACCTGTCTATAATTTCCATATCCAATCCCGTATAATATGGGAAATTTGAATGCCGACCAACCCTGTCAATGCCCGTGCTGGTCAAACCAGAATTGAGCATTGATCGATTTGGTTCTGATGGACGAGCCGAGTATTTAAAAAAAATATAAAATCTTAAAAAAATAAGAGGTTTGCTTGTAATGGGTTTTTGAAAGTTCTTTTTATAAGATTAGAAAGTGAAGCTTTTTACTGCATTATGCTTGGGACGTTGCGCATCACTATCGGATGCAAATCTATAGTATTTCTTTTTTACCAAAGTGAAGTTTTCTCTTTATAGATTGGGTTGCGTTTGCATAGAGCCGAGGCTCCAAACGATCAAAGTAGAGCCCGCTTTTAAATAGTGTCAAGAATTGTGCTTTCAACATTGAAAATCTTTATGATGGCCTTAAAATATATTTTCATCCCTAATTATAAAATTTAAAGCTTCAAAAATAGTGTAGATCAAGCAGATTTGTGAAAACTTAAAAATCTTGAAAATTACAGTCCAAAACTTGAAATCCATTTTTTTTATGTCCATGCATCTATATGTTGAGATGATCCATTTGAGGATATTTGGATATCAATACAACATCTTCTAGTGAAATTTTCGAGGTAGGCTCTAATTTGATTATTTAGAGCCTCGGCTCTATATAAACTTTTCCCTGTAAATTTGCATGCTTCTATAGAGATGCTCAACTTCCCAAATGTAATATGTGAAATTTGAACGAGTACCAACCTGTCCGTACCCAAACAGAAATATATATAAATGATTAGGGGTGGTGTCACACTCCAAGAATTTACAATACTGATATTCCTGAGATGTGACAGTCAAAATATATATATACATCTCTTTTTAGGACAAATTTACAGTGACGAATTTTTAAAAAGTAACAAAAGAAAGTTTAAACACAACTACAATATCTTCCCAAAGTTGATCCTG